ATAACTCTCTACAGGATTCTGTATAACAAAATCCACAGCATAATCATTGCCAATATTAAAGAAGCCTGGTTATGGAAGAACTAATTGTTTAATTTCTTATTCATGCATATATGATTTTGATAGAATTTCACTACCAACACTAAGAACAATATTATTTATTGAGTGACTTCTTTGATCAATATCTCTGCCAAGCTTATATATATTTTATCCTTCCTACAACTTTTTGAAGTATATTTTTATTCAGATTTCCCATACAAAGATATTAGAATTCTAGAGGCAAAGAAACTTCCTCAAGATCACAAAGTTAGAGAAAATTTGTGAATCCAGTCCAAGTATTTTAATTTCTAAGCATCAGTAACTAGTCATCTGCTCAGAAAATTTTGTCATTGAGTTACCATGGGTAAAGTTATGGGATAGGAGCTAGATGATTTATTGCTATAGCAAAATTGGAATGTAGCAAAATTGGAAAATAAAATTGATATAATTTTGTGTAAATCCAATCTTTGGATAAATATTTCTCAAATGTAAAACTGCAAGACCCTGATGCCTCTAAGTTCATGACTAATTCATTGATCAACCAGATGAAGTGGATGATCCCTTCAGTGATGCAACACAGGACAGCATTGCCAATGTAAGTCTGTGGAACTGTGTAGACTAGCTGGGCCCACGGATGGATGGGATATGAGACTGGCATTCAGGTGGTCAAAATACAAGAGAAGAAATGTTCAGCTGTCTCAAGTGTAAAGGAAGGACAGCACTAAAAGTCATTATGGAAGTCCCATAGCCATCCTTTAAAAATGTGCTGGATCCAACCAGCAGCAATGAAAGCCTAAAGAAAAAAATTAAGGGCTCTGTGGTTACCTGAGGTTCTTAGCTATGGAGCGGTAGCTACAACACTCCTTTCTGGTCAGATTGGTGTGCTATTGAGTCTTTTCCTTATAGAGAAAAGTACAAGTTCAGTATAAGTATTAAGGTCAGTATAACACTGAACTTAATAAAGAACAGAAGGAAATAAATGGTGAAGACAGACTGACAGAACAGGAAACAAGATAGAAAATGGATAAGACCTCGATAACAGGGTTTTGTTTTAGTTTTGGTTTTTAAGACAGTGTATCCTGTCCCCCCTGCTGGCCTGGAACTTGTTATAAACCAGACTGACTCTATCTCACAGAAATCCACATGCCTCTGCCTCCCAGGTGCTAGAATTAAAGGTGCGTTCCATCAATCCCAGCTTAAATAACAGGCTTCAAG